ATCCTGCACCCCAAGTCACTCTCACAGAGCCCTGTGCAACCCCGAGCCTCCCCTCAAGCCAAGCACTTTTCCCTTGAGGACTTTCATACATGTGTTTCCTTCTGCCCACTCCCCATCCCTTCTCCTATCCCTTCACCAAGCCAACTCCAATCAAGCCTTCAGATCTCACTTTTAATGCAATTTCCTCCTGGAGCTGCCCAGGCCTGTAATTCCTGCCAACTTCTCGGTCGAAATCAGGTCCCCCTGGTCATACCCTCATGGGCCCTCTACTCTTTGAGGGCACCTGGCAGAGGCCCTCCCACAGAGGTAGGGGCCACTGTGGCTTTTCTGGTGCTCAGCAGGCAGCACAGGGCCCCTCAACACATGACACGTCCCAGCAAGCATCCGCAATCCACGTCAAACACCCCATCGAAACAGCACATGTGTTTAATAACCAAGAGGGTGCTTCTCTGGGTCATGTTTTAAAAAATTAATTATAAGTAAGTTCCCCTGAACTCTTCAGAAACAAAAAGCAAAGGTTCGGCATGCCCTCTGAGCTTCCCTGAAAATGCACAGGGTAGACGGCAGAGACTTTCTCTGAAGTTCTACACATCGTGCATTATTTCATAAGAGTTTTCCACTCTCTTGCAGCATTTAAGCAGTAACAACAAGAAAAGTACACCACCAGAGTCTGGCAGGCTTTGTTTCTCGGGATTCAGCCTGCTTTCTTATCCCACACCTCCATGCTCATTACACAACAAAACACACAAGACCAAGAAGCACTAGAAATCCACCCCAAGGTAAAATTCCACATCGACTTCAAAAGGAAACCCCCAAGATAAAATTGTAGGAACTTTTGAAGCCTTTTACCGTTTTGTAAGATACATACTATACCAAAATACCACCATTTTGGGTACAGAATCTTTTTTTTGCTGGATACAAAGGAAGCTAAATGAAAGTCTTTGTATAGCAAAGACACCGGAGGTGGTATCCAGGGAGCGGCTCCTAACCCCACAGCTTACCAGCCAAGACTGACTCAAACTCTACCACTCAGCACAACTTAGCAGCTTGGCACTCATTTTTTAAGAGGAAAAAGGAGCAAAGAATTAAAAATATAAATTTCAAAACTCCACCAAGAAAGGAAAAAAAAGCTTAGTTATGTGAATGCAAAAATAGGATTGGGGAGGCTGGCGGGTGGGTGTCCTGGAACTTGTGGCTAGTGTCTCTGAGTTGTTAAGAAGTCAATGAATTTGTGAGGGGTGCGGGGAGGGCAGAAGGGACAGGGAAGGCGGGAAAAGGAAGGTTACACAACACTGATGCCTTGTGTAAACTCCCAGTTCTTGGCCAGCCAATGAAGGCATCGTCCCTGTTGGAATCGATTTCCTCTCTCCTCTGAACACAGATTAGGAATCACTGGATTATAACAAACACGATGCAGTATCAGCTACAGGAGCTAAGATTTATGGGGTTTACTCTTAATTTAAATATCATTTGATAAAGTTGAACTCCACTTGTTAAGAACATTTATTCTACACATTAATTTTTTTCTAATGTGGTAACCCACATACCACATGAAAATAATCCAATCAGATTAATATATTCCAAAGAAATGCTCTCAATTCCCATGTCAAGATTCTGCCCCAAATGGGTACTGGAAAAAGTTATTCTTCTTAGCAATCTGTGAAAGTTGTAGTTTCGAATGATTAATAATAAACACTGAATACATCTCTATTTTCCAAGTTAGACATTAGAAATAATCATGAAATAGCTTGGCCCAAAGGTTACAACAATTCCAAATTTCGGAGAAATTAGGAAGCAATCCTCAGACAATTATTTTGAAACATGTCTGATGAAACACTGCAATGTGACAACATGTTACTTAAAAGAATGAAAACAAAGTGTGAGCAAGAACCCCAAGTGTCTGGAGAAAAGTTAGCCCTTCATCAGCGACTCTAAACATGAACCAGACCCTCTGGCCAATGTTGAACTGTACAAAGGCAAATGATGTATCAGCCACAATTCAGAATGTGCCCTTTACAAACACAGACACACCGTACCAGCCAAGGTACAGCTGGTTTTGGTTGGCACACTGCCTTACGTTTAGCAAAAATGTGATCATAAATTTGTAGTCTTGGCCGGACGCGGTGGCTCATGCCTGTAATCCCAGCACTTTGGGAGGCAGAGGCAGACGGATCACGAGGTCAAATGATCAAGACCATCCTGGCCAACATGGTGAAATCCCATCTCTACTAAAAAAATACAAAAAAATTAGCTGGGCACGGTGGCGTGTGCCTGTAATCCCAGCTACTTGGGAGGCTGAGGCAGAGAATCACTTGAGCCCAGGAGGTGGAGGTTGCAGTGAGTAGAAATCGCACCACTGCTCTCCAGCCTGACAGCAGAGCGACACTCCATCTCAAAAAGTAAATAAATAAATTTGTAGTCTCAAAGTGTATGCATCCTCAATCCGAAAAACTATAGGTAACCAGGTGGATGAAGAAGGTCAACAATTCAGGACCTTTCTTCTACTCTGCTTTCCTATCTCCCTCAACTAAGTCCTCCTCCCCAGAAATCCTGCTGCTCATGACCTGGAGTCAGGTGAAGATTACAGAAATGCACCATCACAGGGCTGACTTATAGAACCAAAGTCACCATTAATGACAAGCATTCAAGTATCTCACAAATGTGACCACATTTGTCCTTTTGTCCAGGTTCATGGCTTTTCTCTTTTCCCCAGCTCCCAGAGCCCATCTTCCTCCATCAGCCCATCCCCTCTAGGCAATGGCCATTCCCAGGTCCCCCTGAGCACAGCAGAAAGCACAAAAGATTCTATGACAGTTGCCAGCTGTGGCAGCTTTGGACAAAGGTCTCCATCTACAAGATGGTGTGCATGCCCAGGGTAGCTGCTATGGTCAACACGCCTGCTAAGAAACGGTACAGAAAAAAAGGGGTCTAAGCCCCTCGCTGCACCCATGGCCGAAATCCACACAGGCTCTGGAAGGAATATTTTGCCAACTCCTCCAGATCATTAATTTCTGCATAGGCAAATGAGATGCGACTGTTCCTGTGGGATTTCAGGGTGGCGGATCATTGCTCTATCCACACAGACAAACCCCCACTCTTGCACGGAGGTAATGTTCCCTGGCATGGGACCCACAGATCCTAAGCACAACCACAGGGCAGCGCCCACTCTGAACCACTGCCGCGATTCTCATCTTCTCTCCTCACTCAGAGAGAGAAAACAACAGAGAGATTTTAAAGATAAGGTCCTTTCTCTGTAGCTAAGACATAAATGTGGGAAATTCCCATAAACCATTGCCAAAAGCAGAAAAATACATTTCAAAGCCTAAACCCACGCTGGGAAATTCAGGGAGGTGGGAAAAGTTAAACAGTCTTCTTCACTTTACTCTCTAGGTGTCTAGAACTGTCACACTTCTTTAAAAATCTCTGTATGTTTCTTAAGATTTTTTTTTTTAAAACAGGGCATTCACTTTTAGAGAAACCTGCATCAGAACCCCTAACCAGCAACTTCTTTACACTTATGAACTGTCCCTCACCATGACCCAATTTACAGAACCAGGCACAGCAAGTTACTTTCACCTCCCATAGGAGAGAATATACCACAAGGCTCTAGAAAAGGAGCAGAGAACCGGATCCAGGCCTTGCTCTGTCCACTGACGCAGCGTGTGACATTGGGCAATTCACTTAAGGCATCTCTGGGCCTCAGTTTCCTTTTCTGAGGGCAGGTTAGGCCTATATGATCTAAGGTTACTTCCAGCCCTGAAATCTTGACCTGATAGGAGCAGACGTAATTATGAGCATCCATTTTATTGTGGAGTTGGAGGAAAGGGGAAGCTTCTAGCAAATGTCAACCTTCTTTCTGCGTGCCTCACTTATATCAGAGAAGAGAAGACATTGTCACAAATGATGACTCAAAATGTGGTTTTACAGAAATAAGTTATTTTGTGATATATACACACACATATGACAGAGGTATAATTCATTAAATAACACATGCTCAATTAAAGCAAGCTCCAAAATAAGGAGGCAGTTAACCCAAAATGACAGAATGCATCTTAAGATTTTTCTACTCTATAAAAATTGTAAAACAATTTTCTTAATTACAATGTAGAGGCAAAATGTATTTATGAATAACATTTTGTGATACTTAAATGAAAAATACATGATTGATTCATGCTTTGCATAATTCTAACTGTCATGGATTCATTATAAAAATGTCTTCCATTAATTATTTCAAAAGTAGGAAGTCCAGCTCATGTTATAAATATGTAGAAGGGAATCTTCAAATAAGGCTGAGCTATCTTCTCAAGGTTAATTTATAAATTCCACCCTTAGAGCCTACAAAGCCCTAAGAAAATACATTAAAAATATATGTAGACACAGACTTGTAGTCTCACTACTAAAAACAAATGCTTTCTATCTCAAACTCACATACCTTCAAAGCCGTGGATGTGTAGATTAAATTCCATTTTAGCCTTTCTAAGTTCATTTCTACTCTAGGTCTACAATCAGCCAGCCCAGATGAAATTTTTCTAATGTTAGTGTAGAAATTTACCAACAAATATTAAGATAAATTGGGGGAGAGGATAACAGGCAGGTTTCAAATCCAGGACTCCCCTTTTGAGTTTTTTAATTCCCTCTTCTTCACCTCACCTCCTCTGAATGTATTTTTATAACTACTCTGACACCACTTCCAGTCTCCTCCAGACCATGGTGATCGTGTCCTATGAACTAGAGCCCACGAGGCTAGATTCTAACCAAATACATGGAAAGGAGTGGAGGAAAAGTTTGTAAAATTTCCAGGTAGGTTACAATCATTAAGGTCCAATAGCAGAAAACGAATACCTTATAAACTATATCCAAGAATATTTCCAAAGAAACTTTGTTTAAAGAAAGAAAAAAGATGACAAATAAACCTGTTATCATAAAAAAAAAAAGCATTTTCTTTCTCACCCCTCCTCCCCACCAATAAAGGAAGCCATCATCTCCGGGAGGTTACTTACGACGATGTGTGCTGGCGAGGGAGAGCGGGCATCTTTGAGGGCTTGTCTGCTCTGGAGGCTCCCTGCCTGGACATCAAGCAGTGGCCATTTCATCTGGAGATACTGGCAGGAGGAAACAAAAGTGAAATGGAAAATAATGAATTCAGAAAGTCAATGCAAAACAACTAGCCGAAGAAATAATTGCAACATGGGTCAGAAACTGAACAACTTACAAGCATGCAAATAACCATTAAAAAAAAAAAAGCATGCAATACCAACAGGTTCTTCCTTAGAGTTCAAGTTTAATAGGTACACATATAGAACATGAATGTTACTAGCAACTGTGTTTTTGGTCTGTGCATTCAAACTATAGGGTAGCTTCAGAAAAAAATGATTTCATTACCGCTATCTTAATTTGGTGGGAGTAGAGGGAAGTGGGAGAGGTGGGGAGGAAGAGAAAAGAATATAGAGCTATTCCAAAGAAAGAAAGTAAAACACAAATCTCAAGCTGGAAGTGTCCTGGCAAACCATCAATTCCAAATCTGCTCCTTCTCAACCTCTGTTTTTCAAATGCCATCATCCTTCACTTTAAAGGAAGTCAAGTATACATGAGCAGCTTTCCTTTAGGTAGCAAAAGCTATTTGAGTAAGGCGAGCATGCAGTTCCTCATATGATCCAACAGTTCACTCAACAAATATTACTTCTTGGTAAAGGATGCACAGTGCCAGACACAATGTATACACTCATTTCAAAAGACCAGGGGAATTCTTTAGCATGCATAGGTTAACCATACAGATAAAAATAAAGGTGTAAGTCAATTCTGTCTGTCCTCAACTTTCTCCAAGCTAGAAAATGAGTATGTGGCCCAAGGGAGCTACTTCTGTCAAAAGCGATCCGTTAGCTTTCAGTGAGGTTTGAACAATCAGTTGACTCAACTCCTCATTTTGCAGACAAAGTAAAATGAGGTGAGGTGGCCTGCCCAGTCACGGCGGGACTCGGCCCATGTATAAGAAACTCTTAGGCATTTAACTTCTGTTGATAACATTACAACAGTCTCACTCAGGAAATCAAACAGAACTTAGACACAAGGCTTAGATGCACATCGAGGCAAGCTTTATGTTTCCCAAGGCCAATTCACTGATCCATCAGTGAATGCTCAGAGGGGGTATAAGAAGACACCTTGATCATTTCAGAGGCCTCCCTAAGCAAAATAAATGGCTAGTTTTAATATTAATTCTATACAAAACTTTAAGGAACACTGAGTACTACTCGCTTTGTGTACAGGCTTGTGACAAGCATTAGGACATACAAAGATGTCTGCTCTCAAGGAGCTTATGCCAGCATCAGGAGCCTTACTGACACAAGTACATCAACACCAAAGATGGTGACACTGTGACAGAGACTCAGGGACTCAGGAAATGCCAAGAAAGGTGACAGAATTTCTGGGATGAGAGACTGTGGCAGGCTGCAGAGTTACGTCTTGGTCAGAATGATTTCAACAGAAAGAAAAAATACAGGAATGGGCAATACAGAAAGAAGGGTCTGGACAAATCCCACAAGAGACAGAAGTGCGAAAGCCATCCACAAGCCAGCCTACAAGTTCCGCAAAGATACGACTGCTCAGCAAATTAAAACCAAATTTGGTTACACCTAAAGCTGGAAGAGCACTGCCCAAGAACTACCTGCCGAAGTGCACAGTGGATTTTCCCATGACGCCTAGCATCTAGACAAGGTAGGTGCGTCTGCTACAAATTCAGAGCTTTCACCTAGAGGCCTCCCCCGGTGAGCAACCTGGTTACTAGTCTGGTCGTGTCTGTGACTCGCCACAAGGCCCTGCATCAAATCCCTTTGCTTCGGTGATCTCTGGTTTTTCATCTGGATACGAGGGAGTCGTCCTCTCTGTGACAGGGGAGTCTGCCCCAAACACTGAAAGACTTCTAGGACTCCAAGCCCCCAGACAGTAAATACCAACAGGAATGCCCTGGGTCATCCTTACCATCACACAGATGATACTTCTTTGGGAGCGGTATCATCTCAAGTTGAAAACCGCTAAAGTAAGTATTTCCAGAGTCTCCATCTGTAACCCAAGCCAGAGGGCTCTGGGAATCTAGGCTGGCCTGTCTCGCCCCAACTTCTTCCCATTCTCACTTACCACATAACAATATGAGCTGCATTGGTCAAAACCACTCAATAGAGTCATTTCCTTGAGGCCAACCAAAATGGACACCCACCAACCCTCACCTCTCCATCTCATAAAAACCCGTGAACAAAATTGCCAAGTGCAGTCGACACCCATCTACACCCCATGCTATCCCCCAGTGGGGAGAGCTGGATTGGTGGACAAGTTTCCCATCTTTGGCCACCTGTAAAACAGATTTGATTACATCCAAATACCAGCTCCGTAGAATTAGGAAACTTAGGCTTTGTTTAAGGTGACAGACCTGCCCTGAGGACCCACCCACAAACTGTCATGCCCATAATGCAGTATTAACATGGAGACTTATCATTCTTACTTTACATAAAAGCTTCATTGTATGCCACATCCAATCTCCATAGGCTACCTGCACCACATATTTTTATGAGCCTACATTTCAGCGCTCCAAGCCTACAATACACATAGTTTTCAATTATGTTAGAGCGGCCCAGGATCACTGCCTATATAACATTACTGTTGGAGGAAATGAGACTCGGCCCCACTGCCCAGAGAGAGTTAACCAAATCCAGATGGTGCAGGAAGACGGCCCCAGTCCTGCTGACTTGCAGGGACTCCGCAGCGACAGCCCCAAACTCTCCTTCCCAGTGCAACTTGATGCCACAGAACCACTGGGTACACACAAAAATCCAAGCCCGTTCCTTGAATCTTAACTGGCATTCAGGCTGATGAAGTGCCTTTTGGGGAAATAAGTATTATGTCAGGATTTTCTAAAGGAAGCTATCAACCTTCTCCAAAAGTGATGGGTTTCCCAGGTTCCTTCATCTTCTACAATTGGTCCTTATTAATAAGGAAAATAAATAAATAAATAAATAAATAAATAAATAAATAAATAAATAAAGGGAAGAAAAAGGAAATTAGGTGCTATTACAGCCTAGAGGAAAATCTTTTCTTTCCTGGAGACATTAAGCAGCAGGAAATTCTATTTTGTTGGGTCCTAAAGGAAGACCTGAAGGAGGGGGCATCTCAGATTTACAGAAGCGCTGGAACCCTGTGCCACGTTTTCCCAACCATTTGACTTGGTTTTATATCCTTTTGGGGAAGGGGAAAAAAATGTTCCCACCATCCCATTATAAAACAACAGTGGGCTCCAGCTCTTTTCCTCTTAGGCTGTTCAACGTGGAAATTATGAATTGCCTATAAAAACATTCAACTTTTCAACAAACTGCAATCAAATGGGGCTATGGGAATTCCTACATTGAAAACTGTTGGAAGGGAGTCTGCTCAACTTTCATTTAAAAAAAAAAAAAAAAGAAAGAAGGCCAACTTGGCTTAAGTATTTCATCCTTTGTTAAATAATAATGTTCTGATCATGGCCCATTAGAGTTTTTCCCCAAATCGTATTTTGTGATATGTCTCAGGGAGCTTAAGTTAAGCTTTGGACCTGTGAGCAAATCTTGAAATACATGCAACACCAATGGCCTGAAAGGAATCAAAGCAGTTGAAAAGAGTGTTAAATTGCCAGCAAAAAGAAAAAGGTAAGCATCTCTAACTTTTTTTCTCCTCTTCCATGTCCCTCAATGAAAACAGGGAGAAAAGACAAATGAGGAGAGGTTCCTTTGAGAAATAGTTTTAGCAGAAATCAGCATCTACTCAAGCCAGACTGATGGAACCTGATCCCATGGAGGTGCCTTCGTTTTTGATAATCTACCATCAGCAGCAAGAATGTCGAGGATGGGCTGCCCTGAGAACCTGCCCCCTTACAGTTGCTACTGAGGGCTCTGTATAAATTTATTTTCTAAACAAGCATAAAAACTTAAAGGACAAATGATAATGATGATGATGATAATGATGATGGATGGTGATGATGATGATGATGATATGGCAACAAAGTTGCCAGGAAACTTCACATCCTTGATAAAACACCACTGTGGCTTCCAGTATTTCCTTTCAATCACTCTGCTCCACAGATGGACGGGCAAGTGGAATTTATCCCTTTATTTGTTCAGGACAGGGCTGGCAAACTTTTTCTATAAAGCAGCAAACAGCAAGCATCTTAGGCTCCGAGGCCCATACGATCTCTGTCATAACTACTCCACTCAGCCATTGTAATTGGAAGGCAGCCACAGGCAATGAATGTATGTCTTGTATCATGGCTGTGCTCCAGTAAAACCTTATTTATAGATACCGAAATGTGAATTTCACATCATTTTCCTGAGTCAGAAAATATTATTCCACTCCTGATGTTTTTCAACCATTTAAAAATAATAAAAGTGCTGCGTGCAGTGGCTTAGGCCTATAGTCCCAACACTTTGGAAGGCCAAGGCCAGAGGATTGCTTGAGGCCAGGAGTTCTAGACCAGCCTGGGCAGCAACACCAAGACTCTACAAAAATAAAAAAGGTTAGCTGGGCATGATAGTACATGCCTGCAGCACAGGCCTGTAGGTCCCAGCTACTCAGGAGGCTGCAGCAGGAGAACTGCTTGAGCCCAGGAGTTTGAGGCTGCAGTGAGCCATGACTGTACCACTGCACTCCAGCCTGGGTGACAAAATGATACCCTGGATCAAAAAATATTAGTAATAATGATAATAAAAGTCATTCTTATCTCACTGACCAGACAAAAACAGGTGGCAGGCCAATTTTGGTCTATGGGCCATAGTTTGTCATGTCTGGTTAGGGAATAAACGTGTAGAGGCCTGCCCACGTCAGATAGGGTGCCTTTCCTCGCCGGGCCTTCAATCCCAACAGCCACATGCAGGCATGTAGGAAAGCATGTCTGGTGGCCCAAAAGCAACGTTTTGGATTGACTCAAGTTGGGAGGGAAAAGCTTGGAAAAAAAATCGAACCCTTTAGCTGAGGCCTCCGTCACAAGGTCTAACCACTAGACCACAATCTCACCAAAATAACTAACCCCTCCTTTCCAAAATGGAAGTTTTAAAAATCCCTGAACAATTCTGACTGGAAAACGTTC